AGCATCTAATGTTGTTAAGAATTTAATTTTTTATATTGACATTTCTAGTCCAGTACTAAAAGTTGCGCATTTTGTTTCAAAAATCTCGCTACTAATAATGCAAAGCCTTATATGTGTTGAACCAACGATGTATAAAACTTTACTGGGACGATTTTTTACAGGACAAGTTTGCCTGACGGATTTGTGCTGATTTTCATGTAGAAAAATATATCTATGCACATACAAATGTTCCAAACCTATTTGACAAGTATTTGTAGTATTATTTATTTGAGATGATAAAAAAATGGTCGGGAGGCGGATGAGATTAAAGGTGATAAGATCTAAAGTCTAGACCAATCCGTACCATAACACCAGAAATGTAATATAAACTGACTTTTTTATGTACACAATTGGACGATCTATTTTCCGAACAATTGATATACAAGAATAACCCACCGCAGTTTTCTACACGTCGTTATATTTACTTCTTTCAACGACATTCTAAGACTCGTCCGGTTTTGGTTCCAGAGTTACAGAGATTTTCTCCTTGTGATCGCCTCTTAGAACCTCTACGGTCACCTAAGCAAATCATCACGATGTCAAACTTTCTCATTTGCACAAACAGAGTTAACAAAATTGCCGATTCTTGTGGACTCGGGGTTTACCTCATCACCGACTTTGCATTGATCGAGAATCCTATACAGATCACTCCCGTTTGAAACTTTTATGCCGTTCACTGATGTGATTATGTCTCCTAGTATTAGTCTCCCGTAATTATCACGTTTTGTTGACTGAAGTCCCTGTGAAACAAAACAATCATGAGCGGAATATAAACTAATAATGGTTTTGTTTGTGTAATTGCATTTCTTTCTTCTGCCTAAAACATCGCATCCCATTGAGAGTAATGGAAAATTGGAAGCAAGAAGGGACTTACAGCTTTCCCAGCTGGACCGCTTGGAGGAGCGTCTAAGACAAGCACGCCGCTCACTCCCAATTGCTCAACAGATTGGTCTGGTGCGAATTTGATACCTAAGATTGGTCTTGTGACTTTACCGAATCTCACCAACTGATCAACGATACCACCAACCTGAACATGAGATAAACAGAGCTCGAAAAGAAAATTACTCTCTCTTTAGTGGATTTAAGGATAGCGAAAGACTCTCTTTGATCGGATTTGCAATGAGAAAAAAAGAGAACTCACAGTGTCAACTGGGATCGAAAAGCCTACTCCAGAAGATGCACCAGAAGGAGAATAAATGGCGGTGTTTATACCAATCAGGGTTCCTGAACTATCAAGAAGTGGTCCTCCGCTGTTACCAGGATTAATGGCTGCATCTGTCTGTATCACGTCTTGAATCGGACGACCAGTTGCTGCAGAACTAATTTCTCTTCGCAAACCACTGTACAAATAATGATACACAAAGATGCTAAAGTTTTAAGAAGAAAAAATACCGGAAAAACTGATGATATCCTTCTGTCTGTATATAGTAAAGCAAAACCATTCGGCATGAACAAGGGTGCAATGGAATATGTATCCTCAAGTACCATTCATCTATTGTAACCTCTTAACCAATTCCAGAGTAATCATGGGAAGAACACATCGAAAGCTGAAGAGAATACAAAACAAGACAAGGATATTTTAACATACCTTATAACACCAGTCGTAAGAGTGTGATCAAGTCCGAACTGCAAAAAAAAAAAAGAAACGCAGAAAGGGTTCTTGCTTTAATGGGTGTGTATATGAAACAGAGATTCCGATATTGATCATTATAAGAATATACACTCACAGGATTGCCAATGGCAAAGACTTTCTGACCAACAAGTAGATCTGCAGAGACTCCAACAGGTATAGGTCTTAGTTTGTCTTTCGGTGCCTGGATACGTAAAACCGCAACATCCTTGTCTTGGTCGAATCCAACAACTTTTGCATCAAATGTTGATTGATCAGCAAGAGTTACCCTGTCATGGATGGATCATACAACTTCTTCATCATACACAAACAAAACATCCAAAGGACCCATCCCATGAAACAGTGTAGTCATTTAGATGCAACAATGTTACTACCACTAACAAATGAGACAAGAACAATTTCACAGAACTCTGACTAAATCCATGGAAGTATATCCAAATCAAGATGAGAGAGAGATACAATCAAAAATCTGACCTGAGATCAGAAGCACCACGAATAACATGATAATTTGTAACAATGTGACCTTGTTTATCCCACACGAATCCTGAACCAGAACCTTGTGGCACCTCAAGCACGTCCAATGTAAAAGCGTCCTGCCTAATTCAAACCAAATTCAATCGAAGAAGATTACACGCAGGGAAATCAGAATTCAATCGAAGAGACGAGAGAATTTGAATACCTGACGGCAAGATTTGTGATGTAGACAACGGAAGGAGTGTTCTCTTGGAACAATCGAACCGTCGCGAGCTCATCTATCTGGAGTTTCCGGGGAGTAGAGACGACGAACGCCGCAGCGGATTTGACGGCGGGAGAAACGGAGAATAGCGAAAAGGACAAAGCGACGGAAGTGCAGAGGAGGAAGAAAGGCTTGACGGAGGAGGAGAAGGGGGTGAGAAGAGCATCGTTGTCGTCTAGTGGAAGCTTGGAGAAGATTCGGAAACAGCGTTTGGATCGGAGAGGGTAGAGAGAGATCGAAGATGATCGTGGAGAGAGATTGAAGAAGGTTCCGTT